GTTAGAATTAAAACTACACGGAATTCGTGTGTAGAGTTTACGTCTGTTAATGCTAAATGTGTTTAATCTCCAGAAATGCTTTCTGTTTGCTTTCACCCTCACTCCTGAAGCCAACTTCTCGCAGTTGCTCGGAGTTCCCCGTAGTCAAAGTTACATATACGTTTCAAAACCCATGCTTCCAACTGAATCGTAGTCCTAAGGGTGCGTTTCCATTACAAACGTTTAAACGTGCCCGTTCGACGTTACGCTCTTTAAGTTTCATGAGATTCATGAATATTTTCGTATACATGAAATTCATTACACTAGCCGGGATCAGTCCATGAGAAGTTGGTCAACAGCGTTGTTTTGTTCGTTCTCATTTGCAAAATGTAGGGAACGTTTCGATGATAATGATGCTGCGTTTGGTCAACAGCGAACTTAGGGAATTATTATGAAAACGCACGGAATTTCTCTTAATATTCGAAAAATACGGAGTTTTCAGCGAATTAAAAAATAAACGCATTAAATTCGCTGTTGTTATTGTTTGAAAATCGGGGCGAGCTTTTGAAACTGATACGAAAGATATTTGTTATACAAATGCATCAAATGCGATTGATTATTATTAAATGCAGAAATTGGAGTAATGTGCTTCGATGCAATCACGCAATTCGATATCCGAACGCGTTTGTTATTCACTAATTACAAATTGCAGCGAGCACGCTTGCAAAGAATCTGGACACCAAATCGGTAACGAGGATAAAACGAGCTGATGGAATCAATTAATTATAGATGCATCATTACCTATAATAACTGAAACTTTGATTAGAATATCAATAACCCAACGAATGTATTATACAGAATTTACTGTATTAACTTTCAACTCAATTGAAAATTCAGTGTCACAAAAAGTGTCAAAGGAGAAACATTAATTGTTCAAAAAGTGCTGTATTCGTAGGTCTAAATTTTTAGAAGTGAAGTAGTGCATGTGTTTACAACTTCTGCATTATTTTTTTTTTTTTATGAAAGCGTTTTTTGTACACAATGGTAAGTACTGTGTGCATACAATTTGCTATTTAACCCTTTCTGTAACTCTCTGAACATTTTTAGAAACAATTTAAATAAGTTTAAAAGCTACACGTTTAAGTTCATATGAACTCATATGCAAACGGTATTTTTCTTTTTTAATAAATACAAAATAAAAATAGTTCGTAAAGATTGACAACGAAAATCTTATTAACACATTTTATTAACAGAAATAATAGAGATAAACATTGATAAATATATTTCAGTGAAATATATTAGAAATCAAATACATTATACTCAATAAAAAAACATCAGTGTTAGATAAAAATACATATCAGAGATAATGAAAATTATTATTATCTCTCGTGACTAGGAATAAATTTGTTTAAATTATTCAGTACATTAAATGTCCTAAAATATTGCAATTTTTCGACATACAGCTGTTTCATTTAACGATCTTTAAAGAACGATATCGATTATCAGATCACACCACGTGGAGGTGGCTAAAACAGTGACTCACCCAATCTCTAAATCCCTACCACGCTCCAAATACAATAATCTCATTTATCGGAAAGATAAATGAGTTCTTACTCTATTTAGCCAATAAATTCGCATATACAAGGTCCTTACGTTCTTTATTTTAATACAGCAAAGAACTTGCACTGCACACAAGCACGCTGCACAACTTGAAATTTAATATGCTAGCATTCTAAGATTACACCCGTGTTATTTAAAACGGTATACTAACCAAAGGGAAGAAGGGAAGAAAGTTAGAAGAACTTTTTGCAGAAAGGGGGATCAGCATTTTCCACCAAGTGAACCTCGCCCTCCTGGAGCAAAGAGTAGTTGAATCGTGCCTAACGTGAACTATGAGACAGAAATGAAGCAAGAATACTGGCAAGAACCAGTGATACATCCGCGAAGGGCATCCAATTTCTCTCTGCCTCCGTTGTAGAGAAGTCTTACCGTAGAGAGGATCCCCATGCGGTGAGGTGTTTCCTATTTCTCCCTGCTTCCGTTGTAGAGAAGTCTAATCGTAGAAAGGATACTGTCTCGTAAAAATGTATCCCAGGCGCTAAACCACCATTTTCAGCTCACAACTGACCCGTGTTCACTGCATTATCCAACCCCCAATGACCCATTTAGGTTCGTAACAGTTAACAAAAAATAACTGGGTATACTACAATTTAACGCGTAAAAAGTTCACCAATTGTGAAGACGAGTGCAAGATAGAATAAGAGGCACTTACAAACTTTTGCCGGAGCACTTTAGCATATAACCTTTTCTCTCTTCGGTGCATAACCTCATAAGTATCACTCGCGAAATTTTACGGTAACTCGAATATTCTTGGCTTACATATCAATTACATAAACTTTCAATTCTGGTATCAATCTCCGCAAACAGACAGCAGTCACTTTTATAAAAATAATAAAATAATTTTAAGAAAAAAAATACACCGACTTCAAAATGCACTAAAAAATACAAAATAATTTCTATTTCATTCCACGACGCGGGAATTACCAAATTTGCGGCAGATGGGCTCTATCTTTATGGTAAATGCGGCGATTGAGTCTTTCTGTCGAATACTCTATGAACCTAAATAGACCATAGTTACATTCTATACGCACTAACACCTACTTCGCAGCGTGCTGTCGAGTTATATGTATAGAAACAAAAATAGCTATATAGTATTCACTCCGTAAATGTTAAAAAGATCTCTACCGTAAATGTTAAAATTATATCCCCACTACTGGGGGGATCCCCCTCGAAATCAGTCAAGAATGAAACACGATCGGTCGCC